GATAAGCACAAAAAGAATGCAAAAAAGTTTATTTTATCAATAGTATAGCTTTCCTCCTCTGTGATAGCCCAGGGCCTAAAGAAGTAAGAGGCACTGGAGAGGCATGTTTACACCTGTGCAGGGTGATGCCACCACTGATTCAAATATTTAGTAATCTGAACTTCAATTCCATTACATTCATGTAAGGAATCTCAATTTCTTCAGAACACTGTTGTATTATTGTATTAGGCTGCAAGGAATAGTACAAGAAGTACTTCTCTAATGACTGGCTGTGTGAGAATTGATCATGTCATGGGTGTATGGAGTTCATTCTTCACTTTCCACCAACTGGACATGCCCTAGTAATTAAACACATACAGTATGATAAAATGGGTATGTGGTTGCACAGGTTAGTTAGAACGTGGGTATATGACAGATACCTGTAGTCTCCTCATACTACGCTGCAGTTTTTAATTTGGGCTTTCTTTATTTAAAGAAAGTTGCAGAGCAATTTTAAAATTTTTCATGTAAGCATTCAAACACAGATCCAGATTCCACCGTGGAATGTGAGTGAGACTTTGTCATTACCCAGCAAAAGCTTTGCAACAAAAGCTTGGCAAGGGCCAAAAAGACTGCAGGGTTTTTTTCAGCAGGTAAGAGAAGTCCTAAGAAGGTTCACTCTGTAAATACTGCAAAACACAGCAGACAAAGTAGCTAGGAGGAATATCTGTGTTCTTTGGACTGCACTCATCTTTGAGATGAGCATTGAACTTGCTTTTATATATACCTCACTACAGCCAAATTGCCAATATTTAACTGGACAAAAACTTTGGACTGGTTCACCTGTACCATTTTTAGCCATTTACATTTTTAAAGCAACCAGCATCCTGCCATACCACCACAGCAGCATTTCACACCTGCCTGCATAGGTTTTTTTTCCCATTTTGGAGCTTTAGAACATATTCTAAATGCAAGCTAAATAATTAGCTATGACCTCAATTTAATGTACACACACACACATATATATGTATGTATGAGTATTTAAGCAGTCCTAACACTTGACCCAGGACCTTTACTTCTCTATCCTGAACAAAGCTTTGTGGAGCTTCCACATATATATATATGAGTTAACTAGCACAACTGACAACAACAATCAGTTCAGAGAGAATTAATGATTCTAACCTAAATAGAACCATTAACTGAGAGATGGGGATGGAAACCAGGCCTCAAGCATCCTCTGAGATCTACAATTATTTTTGAAGCATGGTTTAGTCCTCTGGCAACTGATATGATGACGCACAAGCCTAAATGTTTACTCTTGGATACATCAACTCTTACTGGTTCTATCATTTGCTCTACTACTCTAGTCACAACAACAAAATTACAAATGCATTTGCTTGTTTATTTGGTAGTAGACTAACACCTGTCAAAATATAAGCCAATTAATATCTTCATAGAGAAATACAATCTATAGCTTGTGAAATCAAAGTTCTAACTCCTTATTAAGCATCTCTGAGTGGGCGTCACTTTATAACCAGAACTACGATGACACAACAATCAGACAAGAACGGCAATAACTTTGTAATCTAATTTTTGTACTAAAAATTTAATTAGACTGAAACAATTACAAACTTCTTTTGCTTTCTTTTATGGAAACTAGCTCTCATCAAGTCAGGTACTGAACTGAAAATTCTCTAATGTTGTCATTAGTAAAGATGAAGATGCATTAAACTGAATTTTTCAGCAATGCTGAGAAGCACTGAGCTCTTACATGAGTTGTCATAATGAATAACTTATTTTCATGGAGAAAAGAAGAAAGAAATGGAACTCTGAAGGAAGAAAACTGCAATGAAGAAGAGTTCTTACTCTAACAAAATTAGCAATTTCTTCTCTGTATTGTCTTTTACATTAGACTTGCATTAACTTCTCTCATTGTAATTCCATTTAACAGCCATTTGAACTTTTTTTAAAGCTGATTGGAAATGGCTTGAAAAGCATCTTGAAAAATTGTAAGCTGCACAATGTTTGCTCACTTCAAAAATTAATTTCCTCAGATAATAATTTTACCCTACATTCTGTGAATAAAAACCCTTTTATTTTCATTTGGAAAAAGTTAACTAAATAAAAAGATTTTAGAAAGGCCTTTGCTGAGCTCCATGTGATTTAAGTCTAAGCCTGAATTCAACCTACAGAAGTAAAATTGAGAAAAGAAGGCTTGGGGAATTTAAAGATGCTGAAGTACCAAATAGAATCAATGGCTCAATATTGTCAGTATAGTTATTTCCATTATGCAGAACTCTTAACAACAGGTCTATTTTATAGATTCTGATAAAAAGCAATGAGTACCTGGTCTGTTCTGCTCTAACCTTGTTCTAAATAGAATAAGACTGATTATACAGTTCTGAATAATTACAGCATTTCATCACTTTGATAAACCCTGATACTATGCCATAACAGCACAAGTTAGTTTTCCTAAAAGAAAAAGCAAAGATAGAAAAGGAAAAAAAAACTTTAGAGGAATATACAGGAAGTACATGTGAACTTGAGAGTCAATAAACACACACAGTAATTAGAAAGAATGAGAACATTCACACAAAACCACAAATCAGTTCTGTGTTGTATCCTCCTTTGTCACTACTAATACATTGCTAACACAATTTTTAAGACAAGAGACCTCTTCTAGGCAATGCAGGTAATTAGGGGTGTTTGTTGGGGGGCAGCACTGGAAGACCCAGTGGAGTTCAGCTCTCTGTAAACATTTATATCTTTAAATAAAGAAGGTAAAGGCTGAAAGTGGGAAGGGCTTGTGGCAGGGCTTGCCTTAAAAGCCTACGGCTCATCTTGATGCCAGGTTCTCAGAGCAACTCTAAAGAAAATAGACTCTGAGAAAGGCCAATTGTGACTGAGAAGAAGTCTACAACTAAAAATTGCTATTCACCTGCATGAAGGGATAATGCAAAGTTAGTTCTTCTTTTTATTGATTTATAGGGGTGGGAAACTGAAGGGTCTGTAGGACCTCAAGAGTTTTTGCTTTGGGGATTTCAGATATGTTCATCCAGATTCTTGGCAGAGAGTGAATGTCATGGGAAATAAAGAGACATTTCTTTTCCACAATGAGTTACAGGACAAGATCAAACAGATGTTCCATAGGTTATAGCCTACAAGACTTATTTGTAACATAAAAAGTAACTGTGCACATCAAAGATTATAAATGGAAAAATTCCATTCTTTCTCTGAGAGCCTAGGCTCAGAACAGATGGCACAACCTTTTTTTAGCTTTTTTAACATTCTCTAGAAATGTTGGCTACTAAATAATAACAGCTAGGAAGTTATGCCCTTTGCTTACCCACAGTCTGAGAAAAGCAGACCGGTTTGATGGAACTGCAAAGAAGCACCACCACTGCCATGCAAGGACTTATCTACCAAAAGCAAGATATGCTCCAGGCATCTCAGTAGTTCCAGCATGGATTGCGACTGAAAAACTTTTCTGCTCTTAAAGGGACAAAAATTCCAATATTTTGGACCTGTACATGAATATGAGAGTGGTTCCCTCAGTAGCTGGTCTCAATTGTTCCATGCTCTAAAGGCTGTTAAGCCATAAGATAATCAGCCCTGCAGACTGGGAGGTGGCTGGCACACGCAGCGTCCTGCCTCAGAACTCTGCACTGTCCAAGGCAGCTGTGGCACAGGAATTAGAAGCTTCATACAGCACAGTGGGCATTCATCTTCACCAGCAGACATTCACAAGTAAGAACACAGCAGTGGGAAGGGAGGGAACTGTATGCAAATGTCTGAACTAAATTGTAATTTGGCAATGAAAAATACTATAATATTATTGATAAAGCCTAATCAATTTTATTTGAAAGAAAAGGGATGCTTTTCTTATTTGAAATATCCTCTGATTCATTGCTACCACTGATTATATTTCTTAGGTTTAGCACAACTAGTATCCAACAGGGAAATTATTTCAAATTAAGCAGTGTGATAAATTAAGATACAATTTGCTATGTTGATATAACTCATTTTATCACTATGGTTATGTAATAGAAAGCCATATTTATCCTGCACTAGCTTTGTTTTCTTCAGGCAAGGTTATTTATCACCACAGGAAATTCCAAGTTCATAAAACTGGTTAGCTGACATTTCCAATATAATATACTTTGCGAGGAGGAGCAAGCATCCTAATCAATTTTGCCAATTACACCAGCGTTTGTCTTAATACAAAATCTCTTTATCCCATATGGAAAGACTGGCATGGAGCTCTTCCTAAAAGTCATGCAGATCTGGAGAGTAAGAGATTACATCATCATCAGTGTGAAAACAGAATAAGCAAAGTAGCAGGCAATGTAATCCAGACAGATATGGATGGATAACGAATTCTGTGACTGTAAAGTAAGAACCAGATCTTTTACAATACAGTGCAAAAACATCACATTTTATGAAGATCATGAGAAATGTTAATGCATACACAGCCTTTGAATTTTTAGCTCCAGACTGTAAAACAACTCTTCTTGGAAAAATGTAAATTATCTGCAAATTTGTCTTTTGGTATTTGAACAACTGCTTGTCAGTGACCAGATGGAGTTCCACTTTTCTAAACCAAACATTTTTGATGTTCTGTTGCAAGTTGTCTTAGGCAGGCAGAATTTAAATAATCATCTTCAGGAGTGAAAAAATACAATTTTCTTCAAGATGGATGTTTGATTTAGAAACTTCCTTTTGAATGTAGGAAAAGACAATTTTGTACTTAGAAAAGTCAACTAAGGTCAAGATTAATATAGATACATTAATTAGTTTGTTGATATCATGAATGCTTTTCTTATCATCCCACTGATGAATGAGAGAATTTGCATCTCAGCAGGTAAACATGTCTGATACTTCCTTAATCTACTGTACAGCATTTGCTATAGTCAAAAATAAGAAACTAAGTGGAATACAGAATCAAAATTATTTAGAAAACAGATTACTAGTTACAAAAGAATATGGATGAAGAATCACTTCAAAAATAAAATATATTCTGGACTGATGTGTTCCATAAACTTTTTTTTTTGCTAATAAAAGCCTCTAGGGAACAAATACTTATTTCATATGCTTTCCATTCTGCTTGAGTAATTTTGGATTTCCACTGTAGCTCTGCCTTTTATTCCCTTCTGTTTTCCTTGCCTTGGTTAGATTAGAGAGGTAGGGTGTTAATGGGGTACTTGATGAAGATTGAAGACCTATTTTCTCCCCCCTTGGGACCAGCCTGATTTGAACATATCCAGGAGAGTGCAACAGTCTCTTCATGTCCTTGGGAGAAAGCCTTTTCCATTTCAATACTTCCAGCTTTCAGACATGGTCCCCTTCATTCACAAAGAAAGAAAAGGTGCCAGCACAAGAAGGTTCTGAATAATTTCATAGAATGTCAGTGGGGCTGCAAAAGCTCCCTTTCAACCTCCTTTACGGTTGGTGAGCATGAGGATGCGAGATGGATCCAGGAGGGGAATGCAGGGAAGCAGGTGCTTGCAGCTCCAACAGGGCAAGAAACAAACTACTGTCCACCAGTCCCCACCTCTGCTGTTGCTACTTCCTTACTACTCTCGTCCTTGTGGGTACTGTTTTGTGCTGGGCACTCAAAATGCACACAGTGAAACACCTGGAGAGAACAAAAAAATGAAGATAAAGCAAAACAATTTAATGCTGGCAAAAGCATGATCAAAGTAAGATGAAATCTACATGGAAGTCTATGTGGAAGTCTGCAGGCCAGTGACAAAGTCAAAACAAAATGTTTCACCATGAGGTCAAAAACATTTACTCATGGGCAATAAACATTAGGCAGGGACAACACTGGAGCAAGAGAAGGCCTTCAAATTATAGCAACCTTTATATATAGCACTAAAAATCAGATAGGGATATTTGTAAACAATTTTTTTTCTTTGCCAACTACCAGAAATACCTACTACATGCTATTGGATAATAACAACAACTATATTAGTAGTCTTAAACACATTTTATGATCTAATCACTTCCTCAAGAAGCTGAATGTTCATGCACACTAGAAATGAAATTTAAATCATTACCAACATGATTCTATTTCAAGATTGCCCTCTGCTGTAATAACAATGGCAGCTCTACAGACATGTCCTGGAGTATGTAGAAAGGCATTCAGAGTGTCCAAGGTGGCTGCTGCTTCATGAGATGAAATATTCCTTTTGAAATAGTGATCATTTTCTGATGATTCAAATACCTGGGACCATTGTACAGGTGACTGTATCTTAGAGTAAGAGGACCATGTGCTTAAGCATTTTTCCAATTTATTTTCTACTTTACTTACTTCTACTTGTTCTTGAAGAGCCTGGGAGGAGAAGGGGGAGGAACTCTTTAAAATTGTTATAAAACCTCTTTCCATATGATTTTGCATTGCTATGAATTGCACATCTTTGTCACATACTAAACTTAAGTATTTTTACACTGCTTTATATTTGCTATTTTCCCATGCATTATAGTTTAAAAGCTAAATTATTATTAAATAATGAATTTCAAACTTATTGTCTTAATTTTGCATACTTTTATGACATCTTCTATTATTCTTGTCTTTAAAACTCTTCTCACAAACAAAGGTAATCTCTTATAATCTTAACTGCCCTTTCCCAGACCCTTTCAAATTAATATGGGCAAAATCAAATATCATAAACAAGACATGGATATACTACATATTCATACAAGACTACAGAATACTGTGTTTTTTATCTTTTCTCCAACATAACCTAAAATCCTATTATTCTTTTTGAACCATCCCTGCTCAAGTGAACATTAAGCAGACATCTGCACTGACATGTCTGCAGTAGCCCCAGGTCTTTTCTGAGGATGTAGCTAGCTAATTTGAATTCTGACAGCATACATAAAATTAATTTAAAAAATCTTCAGTCACTGCCTGTTTTTTTTTTTAATCCCCATTATATTTTCTTGTGCCCCTCAGTGTAAGTTTTTTATGCAGATACATTGCAATACATGCTTATATTTCTATATATACACTCATGCTCACATAAAGATGTATTGCTATGTCTTTATATATACATATATATGAAGAGATTACAAATCTGCACAGGCACCCACACATAGACACGTGCACAAAATGGTTTTCCTCTGCATTTCTTCTGTTTTTTTCCTAAAGCTGAACTAATTCCTATACTGGCATGCATTCTCTGCATCTGTTACAGTTCTTGAGAAGCCAATTTTTGTATTTATCTACACTTCTAGAGAAGTCCCTTTTGTACTCATCCCACTCCTGTGTTTTTCAAGTAACAGCTATTGTAATTTTTCCAGCTGCACTTTTCAGGATAAGGCCTTGAAGAAAAGAACATTCTCTCATCCGTGTAGCTCTGTAAGATGCTGCTTTCCTTGAAAGGAAGCACAGAATCTGATGGAGGTCTCTAAGCCAGAAGATTCTGTATTTCTACTGTATCCCACAATAATAGTATTTCTCATTTAAAACCTCACTTTACATAGTTACACAGCTTTTTTAAACATAGTGTGGATAGCCCTGAAATTTAGCTAATACTAATCTAGAAGGTCAGAAGTACACAATTCTTAAATTGTAACTTTCATTTTTACTGATTCTTTCATATCAAATTGTTAATGGTGAAAACATGTGGCATATTGACAAGCCTGTGAATTTGGAACATTATTCTCAGTTACCCTGCCACCTCAGCATATAAAGAATTACACTGTGTGGGAAAAGCCTAAGCCTGAGAAGCACAGTTGAGCTCAGCTGCTTCATCCGGCATCAGAATTAAGCATTTCAGAACAGTATCACTAAAACAAACAATCTTGCATGTGCTTCTCTCAAAAGAAAAAATGACAGCTCAGGATCATCCTCTGACCCACATCATGTTCTACTTCTCATGGATATTTTAAAAGAGGTCAGACACCCAAAGCAGGAAGGCCAAGTACAAATACACTGGTGCAGTAATTTGTAAGATAAAGCTCTCACATCAGCAGCTAGGTGTCCTTTCCAGGTCAGTGATACTGGAGAGGAATAACAAGAGAAAACTTACATAAAGTATCAGGTGACCTAGCTGACAAATAATGACAAGGAAAAATAATTCTTTTCTCTACAAAAGTAGGAAGTGTGTAAGCTCAAGAAAACAGAAAGTTACACTTCTATCATGCTCTAATGTACCAAAAGCTATTCGAACTCCAGGTCAAAAAAATTTGTGAACATGTCTTTCAAAACTTGGAAAACTCTGTGAGAAAAAGACGAGTTTAAAAGATTAAAGAATTCACAAAATGGATAAATTTTATGGGATTTCTTTTGAATTCCAAAAATCAACTCTTCCCTTTGGGATGTACAGACTGTGTTCCAAAGTTCAAAGGTATTTGTTGGTAAAACAAGTAAGGAGTATTTTGTACCTATTACAGTAACATTCCTTGATAAGAATATGCTGCTGAATATGCTGTGTATTTTTTTAAAATGAAAATGGCTTGACATACTGTACAAGCAGCTGTGGGCAAGTAATTCTGGACATTGCTTGCATTCTTACTGAAGAGACTACTGAGACTATAGAACAAACCAAGACTTTGGTTACACTGCCTATTTAACTTTTAAATATGGAAAATATCTTGCTGCTTTCTTTGGAAAATTAAAATCTATGACAAAATGTTACAGACCCTCTGTTTAATACATATATATATATAAAAGACATTTAGTAATATGTACACAGTAACAATGTTCCTCCTCTATAGGTGTTAGAAGAAATAATTTAAAAAATAAAAACCAAATTAGTGCTGGATACAGATTTTACAGACAAAAGAGGGAAAGACAAAGGAGAACAGCATGTGTTTATAATTCAACTGAGACACTACATGAATAGCTGTAACCTCTATCTATACTCATCTTCCCTACAGTTATGCAGTGCTCTATATAAATAATTATACAGGATATTAAATTCCTTGGAAATAGTAACCAATTTGAAATTAGACTTATGGCTAAAAGGCCATTGCTCTTCAGGGCTTAAAGCTACCTTCAAGAACTCAAAGTTGAAAGTAATGTTTCATGCATTGCTAAATTTATGCAATGCACCTCGTTCTTTTTTAACAAAGAGTTGGGAATTTACAAACACTGGCATGAGAGGAAACAAGACTGTCAATATGGATCAGTAATGGAAGAAGCCTTCTTCACACATGTACTGCCCCACAGGCAGCTTCTGACATTAATTCTAAGGACTCATCGAGGCTGAACTGTACGTGGTGGGAGACACTGCTCAGAAACACAAAATAAAAATTTGTATTCCCACTTCTGTTGGTTGGTCAGCTACTTTCCAGCTGTTGGCTGAGATGTTGATATCTGGTGCTGCTTTTGTTTGCAGGAGTTGCACTACAACTGGGAATAGACACTGCCATTGGACAATGCTCCCATTGCTTAGGAACCAGCAGGCCCAAATGCTAAACACAATCAGAAAACCTCACGTCTGGAGCTGACAAATTCTAATTAACCCAAATGTAGTAGTGCTACCTCAAGCTCAGTGTAAAGCATCAAAGTATCATGTTTGGTGGTGAGTTACATGTGTGGGACACAGACACACCAACAGGTCTAGACACACAAACAGTGGCCTTTGGTGCCTCTTATGATGTTGTCATATGTAAGTCCTCACAAAGACACGCATCTACTCTTAAATTCATATACTGTAAATTGTTTCACTGAAGTCAAGAGTAAAATCTAGACTTCATCTGAAACAATACACAATGACTACAAAAGAGAGAAGCACAAGTAAACAAAGATGGGATGATATTGCACTTTCTTTTTATACAGAAAAATATTTTTTTCTGAATAAAATGAAAAATCTTCTGAATTGGCCACTATTAGTCAATCGATTTACCAGGCATGAAAATTAATTTTAAGGGACTGTTATGCAAATAAGATTTTCTTATGAATAATGAGATTTTTCTTATGTTTCGTTAATTAAAAAGATAATATACAGGTGATAAAACCCAAGTACATCAGAGACCATACAACTTCCTCTAGTGCACTAAATTGGTATTTTAATTGTTCATCAAAATAAGGATTAATTTAAAACCAAACCCAATAGGAGTGTTTGATGGCAGTGAGGAAAGGTCAAAACGAGGAACAGGTAATAACACTGTTCAAGCATTTTGCCAGAGTGCCAGAGCAAAAAGATGAAGTATGTACATTTGAGAAGGCCTTATCAATTTCACTGCAAGATATGAAAAACTGTGTTGTAGTATATTCTTGAAGAATATAGGGTTTTTTAGAAGTTCCTTACCTCATTAGCTGTGTTGCGAGTTCCAACTATTCTGATAAAAGACGCAGGCTGTTTATCAAAAGTGATTGTTTGCCAGGATCTACAAAGAAAATTCAGAAAGACATACAAATATTGAATATAGTCACAAAAGCCTCCAATAAAACATACAGAATGCATTCAAGTGACAGTATGTACTATTATCACTTAACAGGGCAAATGGAGAAACATTCTTCATTGCCTGAATTTCCAGCACTACTTCCTCATCTTTAAGTGTCTTGACTCTGCTTATGCAATTTCATACATACCTTATACCACTATAATTTGTATGCAGGGACAACAATCATACCAAAGTTGAAAGTTAAGAAAATATTCAAAGAAAAAAGCTGAAAATCTTTGACTAATATTGACTGTATTAGATTAAAAAAAAAAAGGTCAGATAAATAAAAGTGCATCCTCCTATTAACTTCTCACAAGGAATCACCAGACTTTGGTTACAGAAAATTACAAATCTAGGAGAAAAAAACCACCAAACCATCTAAAACCTCAAACTTTTCACACTCTAAGGTGAGCAGTAGAGCAAGAGGAGCCAAGCTTTTTTTTTGTGTGGACCAAGGTCCTTCCAGGAAGTTAGAAATGCCACAAAGCACCATGTGCAGTTCAGGTTGTGAGCATTTCCCCATCCTGACACAGCGGCAGGGAGGAGAACAGACCACTATTCCAGAGCTGTGTATAATTTTCAGGCTAGACTGAGAACACTAGAGGTACATTGGGACCACTGTAATCTTCGTTTCTCACTCATATCTGATCTGAGTGAGGTGCAACACCTCAAGCAGCCTAATACACAACAGGAAAAGGACACCATAACTTTGTGCTCACAGTACAACAGAACAAATAAAAAGAATACCAGGAACTAGAGGTTTCAGTTGGGTACCAGTTTTCCACTAGTTTAGTACTTGAACACATTAAAATTTCAATTATTTTATATTCATAAAACATGAAAAAAAATCCAGAATTTAACTTCTCAGCCAAACTAGACTCTATCACAGAAGGCCTCAGAAATAAAATGAAATTAGGTCTAACTAGATTAATTTACTATGGAAAAAAGCTGGATAGTTTTCCAGAATGGGTTCTGAATATATTCAGAAGTGTTCATGTAAGAAAAAGGGGACCAAAATAAAACTGGAATAGAACACCACTCACTGCCAGCAGACAACCCCAAAGCCTGGCAGTATGAACAGCTTCACTGCTGACTACTTGTCTGACATTTGATTTTTCTCTTGTTGGGAAAACTCCTTTTGTCACAAACATAGCATTTCTCAGCTTAATTTAGTTGGCTATTACTTTCATCACTGCTGTCCAGTTATATTTGCTTAAAGAAGATTACAAATCCAATCAAGTACGAATTTCAAATAGTTTACTGGTCTTACTGCATGAGGTAATGGGTGTAATTAGAGTCATTCATGATAACAGACAGGTGTGGTTTCTGGCAGGCCTCAGAGGTAGGCAGTTATCTACCTAATGGTATGGTTTATTTATATGCCTTATGTGGCTATACCTCTGTTTTAAAGCTCAGGTTATTTCTTCATGATCTAAATAAAATATAAAATGGGAATAGACTATTTTGTTGATTGTTTCAAGACTTGAAAGATTGTTATGATTTATTCTTCTTGATATCCCTTCTAACCTTACTCTAGTACGGTCAGTCAATCTCCATGGGCAAACAGAACTTGTTATCTTGAACTACAATGTCCCAAAGATGAGAGGCTGGGACAAAGAGATGATCACAGCACTGCTTCTCATAACAAAGCACTGCCTCAGTATGCATTACGCATATGCTTTGACATTTACACACAAAAACTTGATTCAAGGAGAACAATGATGTAAAAACCAGTTTGCTTTCTAGTGATTTGGAAAGTATTTTAAAGCTGTACTAAATAAAAGAGTTTAAAATCCTAAAAGAGCTATTAAGAAGAGCCTGTGCCTCCCTAGACACTAATGTAGAGTTTGTGTTCTGTGATAAGAAAATATGTTAATTAGAGATCACAAACTAGAATAGAAGTGGGTCTGCATTTATTTCTACTATTTCTGAGCACTGGTCAGATACACACTGCAAGAGCTCAGTGCAGAATTTCCAAGTATGGCAATAAATGCCATTGTCTGTGCCATGATGTGATACCAGGGAGGCTGATGATCTATTTGGGAATACATCTGAAGAGCACAGATAGTAAGAGAGGTTGAGAAAAAGATCTCTGAAGATTGTTTTGATGGCATACTTCCAGATCAACTCCTCCAGGAAGTTTCTATGCTTGTTCACTTCCCACTGCATTGCAAGTCCTTACTTTCTGCTACAATGGCAGTATTAGGATTTGATTATAATTACTCCTTTAATAATATTAAAATATAATGGAAAAAAATAAAAACATTTATTGAGGGTGTTTTAGATAGCATTTTCAGCAAATTAAGTCCTAAGAATATTTACTATTTTGGTATGTGTCCATTTTACTCCTTTCTCATTGGAAAAATAAAGTCAAAATTACATACAATTTGTAAGCAAGTTATTAAAATGCAATAATATTGCCACTAGAGAATTAATACTTAATTGCATAATGAGAAAATTAGAGGTCTCATTTTATTTTCTTAGCAAAAAGGATAAAAGCCAAATAGAAAACAAGCCAAGTGGATTGGGAAGAATAATTTTTTAAATAAGCAAGGCAAACCTTCACTAGAAAGATGCATGGATTTGACTGCAACAGTACATTTGAGATTGTCTATATATGCAAGGCAATACCTCTACAGTATACACATTATTATGCAGCAAAGAGAATTTATGCATGTAACTATACCCCTATGAGAAAAGGGATTTCTTACAGAATATTATCCAGGCATATCTGACCTCTTTTTTGCATTTTTTGCTGATATAACAAATTCACTTAGAATTCTATTAATGTAGAGAGCCATAACAATTTTTCAGTGGTGTTCCTCAATTAAAGACATCACAGGTAATCCTCAAGTTTTTTTTTAACCTTCCTTTTTTACTACTAGTTATCTCTGCTGGTACTATTTTAATAATTTCAGTTTCTCTGTAGAAATTCTATTCTGCAAATAGAATTTTTGTAGCCATGTCATTTATTTAGTCCTGCCATGCCTATGTGCTTACTTTACATTTTCCTCGCACAAGTCTGTCTTTCTATTCTCAAAATCACTTTTGATGGTCTCTACAAAAATTTCCTCCAAACTTTATACATTGCTTTCACATTGATTCACACATAAGTCACTCTGTAACAGGAACAGCAGCATTAAAGCAGATGAAAAGCACTTAATTTTTAGCCTGGGATTAGACAGTCCTGTGTAATGGATGGCATTTCTTCACCTTTACTCCCCATATGCCAAACAAACAAATTTTTCAAATGGCAGCAATACTTTTACTGTCTTTACCTGGGACACAGTCATAAAGAATCTATCAGAATTTACTTCTCTCATAAAATGACACTGCTGTCTTTTGGACTTTTTGTGTCTCTGTACAGCTTATTAGTGACCCTATAACAAATGTAGTTTTCAGGGTTTAGCTTTATTAAATATTCAGGCAGTGTTGATATTTTTTATGCTTTGACACCTGTCTTGCTGGTTGATTTGTTTTAGATTTGCTGGTTCAGTCTGCAGCAGTTCTGGTCATCACTTTCACCACAGAAATAATCACTGCGTCAAGCTGAGGTTTCCATCTCGCAGAGAAGACCCAGAACTAGCAGCCTACTCAGATTTACACCAGGACCCTCAAGCTGAAATGCAGCACTACAAGTTGTTTGGCTAGCAGCTCCATTTTAAAAAAGAAATTAGCCTTGTTACAGTCCTACAGCGTTTAACACTCTACATCTCACCTCAGCCACATGACTTCTAACTCTTTTTCTGCCTGACTCTCCTAAGGAGATGCAGTAATTGATGATTAGCATTCCAAAGCCATGCTTGCATCCTGTGAGCCTGTCATATTTAATTACATTTTAACTATATTCGTCTTCTATAATAGCCTGAACATAATTTAGATAATTATCTTTTGCTCTCTTATTCTCTGACTCTGCCTGTCTCACTTAGAGCTCCTTGCAATGAAAATCACTTTCTCTGCTTAAACATATAAACAGACTCTTGGGCTAAGAATTTTCACCTCTCCAACAGCAACAGCTGAAAACATGATGGCTTTGTGCATCTCACAATCTTTTCACCACACTCTATTCAGAGAAAGGAAAAAGATAACTAGAAATCACCCCACTTTTATATTTCTTCTTGTCTTTTTCCTTATTAGGCTGTTGCAAGAAAAAAGCAAGAAATTCCAGGTAAACCAAATTAATACCTTGCTATTCATTAAACTATCTGTAGCTCCAAAATAGCAATTCACCTCTTAAAGAACATAATGGATTTTTTCAGCATTTTGAATATTTTCCTAGTTATTTCTAAGAAAAGCTGCTATATTTCTAAAGATTTATTACACATAATAGGACATAAATAGGGATTCCTCCCCATTATGTCCTTCTCTTCCAGAAAAAACAAATAAGAAAGAAGAGGAAGCTTATATTTTATTGAGGTTTTCTAATGAGCCAGTGGCACTACACAATACTACCACACTGTGGGCTTACCAGAGCAGCACTGATCAGAGCTGAAACCCAGTTCAGGCCAAAGGTATCAGACAAAAGAGAAAGCTGCTACATGTAACTAACATTCAACAAGCTGTAATAACCATATCATATTCCTATCAAGGCTTGCTTTAGGCTAAGCATGTACATTTTCAATGTGCACATCATGTCTCCTCACTTTCCAAGATGACATACAACTTCCATATTTCTGTTCCCCACTCCAAGAAAAAAAAAAAGCAAAGCAGACATTGAAGCAAATTTAACCTCCATTTTACTTTCTAATATTTGTCTACATATGCCTTATTCTACAGTAAGTGATGAAACACTTCTTAGCTTATTTGGATGTTGACTTTTTCAACTGTAACTATGTATTTTTTAAGGGAATTTGTAAAAGCAGGTAACAGGACAATAAAAGAAGAGTTGTGTCCTTTTTCTATATATTAGTCTGATGACTGTACTGATACAAAGAAGGCAGATT